GAGGGAATCGTGGGATCAGGGAGTTGGGGAGTTATGGAATCATGGAACTGTAAAATCATAGAGTCATGGAGTCATGGAATCATGGAGTCAGAGAGTCATGGAATCATGGGACCGGGGGGTCGCTCACTTCTTCCACCAGGTGGGGATTTCGGGGTGGAATTCCCAAAGGGAATCGTGGGATGGAATTCCCAGAGGGAATCACTGGATCGAGGGGTTGCTCACTTCTTCCACCAGGTGGGGATTCCCAGGATGGAATTCCCAGGGGGAATCGCAGGATGGAATTCCCAGGGGGAATCATGGGATGGCGTTCCCAGAGGGAATCGTGGGATCCAGGAGTTGGGGAGTTATGGAGTCAGGGAATCGTAGAGTCACAGAGTCATGGAATCGTAGAGTCATGGAATCATAGAATTATGGAATCATAGAGTCATGGAATCATAGAGTCATGGAATCATGGAATTGTAGAGTCATAGAGTCATGGAATCGTAGAATCATGGAATCATGGAGTCAGAGAGTCATGGAATCTTAGAGTCCTGGAGTCAGAGGAACATGGAGTCATAGAATCATGGAATCAGGGAGTTATGGAATCATAGAGTCATGGAATCGTGGAGTCAGAGAGTCATGGAATTGTAGAATCATGGAATCATGGAGTCACAGAGTCATAGAGTCATGGAATCGTGGAATTATGGAATCATAGAGTCAGAGAGTCATGGAATCTTAGAGTCACAGGATCATGGAATCACAGAGTCATGGAATCATCAAGTCAGGGAGTCATGGAGTCAGAGAGCCAGAGAGTTATGGAGTCATGGAATCATGGAGTTACGGAATCATGGAGTCATGGAGTTATGGAATCATGGAGTCATGGAGTTATGGAATCATGGAGTTATGGAATCATGGAGTTACGGAATCATGGAGTTATGGAATCATGGTGTTATGGAATCATGGTGTTATGGAGTCATGGTGTTATGGAGTCATGGGGTCATGGAATCTTAGAGTCATCGGATCATGGAATCATGGAATTGTAGAGTCAGGGAGTTATGGAGTCAGAGAGTCATGGAATCATGGAGTCATGGAATTGTGGAGTCATGGAGTCATAGAGTCCAGGAGTCATAGAGTCAGGGAGTCATGGAATCATAGAGTCATGGAATCATGGAGTCAGGAAGTCATGGAGTCATGGAATCATGGAGTAATAGAGTCATGGAATTATGAAATCATGGAATCATGAAGTCATGGAATCATGGAATCATGAAGTCATGGAATCATGAAGTCATGGAATCATGGAGTCAGGGAGTCATGGAATCAGGGAGTCATGAAGTCGGGAAGATATGGAATCATGGAGTCAGGGAGTTATGGAGTCCTGGAATCATGGAGTCATGGAATCGTAGAGTCCTGGAATCATGGAGTTATGGAGTCAGGGAGTCATGGAATCACAGAATAGTGGGGTCGGGGGGTCGCTCACTTCTTCCACCAGGTGGGAACACGGGATGGAATTCCCAGAGGGAATCGTGGGATCAGGGAGTTGGGGAGTTATGGAATCATGGAATTGTAAAATCGTAGTCATGGAGTCATGGAATCATGGAGTCAGAGAGTCATGGAGTCATGGAATCATGGAGTCATGGAGTCATGGAATCATAGAATCATGGGATCATGGAGTCAGGGAGTTATGGAATTATGGAATTGTGGAGTCATAGACTCATGGAATCATGGAGTCATGGAATTGTGGAGTCATGGGATCATGGAGTCAGGGAGTTATGGAATCATGAAGTCATGGAGTCATGGAATTATGGAATTGCGGAGTCATAGACTCATAGAATCATGGAATCATAGAATAATAAAGTCTTGGAATTATGGAATCATGGAATCGTGGAATCATAGAGCCATGGAGTCAGAGAGTCACAGAATCAAGGAGTCAGAGAATCATGGAATCATGGAGTCAGGGAGTCGTGGAATCATGGAATCGTGGAATCACAGAGTCTTAGGGTCGTGGAATCATGGAGTCATGGAATCATAGAATCCTGGAGTCATAGAATCCTGGAATCATAGAATCCTGGAATCATAGAATCCTGGAATCATGGAGATTTGAGCAGTTTCAGGGAATGGGGACTTGGATTAGATGGATGGGGACTTGGATTTGAGCAATTCCATGGATGGGGACTTGGATTTGAGGGAGGGGGACTTGGATTTGAGCGGTTCCAGGGATGGAAAACAGCCCAATTCCTCCTTGTCCAAGCTGAGCCTCGGATATAAATCCATATAAAAATCACAGGTATTGAATATTTCACCTCTCGGGCCGGATTTTTCCTGCTTTTCCTCCCTTTTTGGGGAAGGGAAGTGACTCAATCCCGGGAAACGAGAGGAGGGACATGCTCCATCCCCAAGGAAAAACCCCTTTTCCCAGCAGCCAAAATTCCCGTCATCCCTGCATCCCTGGAGTGTCCTCAGCCGGATTCCAACCTTCCCAAATCCCAAATCCATCCTCTCCTCCCAGGGGGGGACATTTTTCCAAACCCCCCTGGAGGTGTTGGAACCCCCCCCAGAGGCCTTTTGTGGGGGGGAAAATCCACATTTGGAGTTTCCCTGGGGCTGGAATTCCAGGCTGGGGCTCCTCCTGGAATTCCCGTCCCATTCCTGGAATTCCCATCCCGTTTTTTCCCCCCTTTCCCAGGCTGTGGATGACGTCAAGAAAGGTTACATCAAAGCAGAGGAGAAATCCTACCAGCTCCAGAAGCTCTGTGAGCAGAGGAAGATGGTGATGGTGAGGGATCCCACCCTGATCCAGGGCTCCAGCCTTGGGATAAATCCTGGGATAAACCCTTGGGAAGGCCTGACTGGGGTCTGTGGGGCTGGATGTGTGAGGGGAATAATGGGATCCTGTTCCCTTTGGGGTCTGGGGGTAGATCCTGGGGGTCTCCAGCCTTGGGGTCAATCCTGGGGGGTCTCCAGCCTTG